TTTCGATCAATATTTTAAAATTCCATCAAAAATGGCTAGTTAAAAAGTCGAAATTTGTCTGAAGAAAAATAAAAACCCCACCCCGAGCACAAATATTCCGTTACTTTCGTATCGAAAGTCGGAACAAAAATATAGATTTCGCTCCTTGTAACAAGTCAATTATGGCAAATAAGCTTCTTTCAACCAATTTGGAACGATTTATAAGACGGATTAAATCTCCGCTTACGCGTTAATAGTGCGATTTATATCGTGCGTTAATTGTTCCAAATTAGCCAAAATGGCAATCTTTAAACCCTCATAACATTACGAAAAATGATCACAGGTGAAATATCTTTTCACATATAAGCTCAAGATAACAATAGCTTTCGAATGATGTAAAAAATTCCGTCAAAAATGGCTAGTTAAAAAGTCGAAATTTGTCTGAAGAAAAAAAACCCACCCCGAGCACAAATATTCCGTTACTTTCGTATCGAAAGTCGGAACAAAAACTTCTTTTACCTTCTATCGCTTTGTGAATTTACGAGAAACTAAAGCGGAAAAAAACTAAAACACATCCGAAAACAAAGTTTTCACAATTTTAAGTGTTCGACCATAACTTTAAAGTTTTATACCGCAAACTATGATTGCAGTTGTAATTCGCTGTGAATGCAGAATTGCTCTATTACATAGTCGATGTTGAAGGAACGTTTGCAATTAGGGGTCAAGTTGTCGAGTATCGCGATATTATAGATATCATTGGAAGCACATCGCGAAGATGATTCCTTCCTCAGTTAAGGTTAGCATCTTCTAGCTTGAATGTTTATGACCCTAAATTCTTAATTCAACCAAAATCTATCGAACTTAAAAGTGAAAAACTCCAAGAGTAATCATACTTTTTAATTATTTAAGCATTTTAATTTTATGTGTTTTTGCTGTTTTCTAGATTTTGATGAGTTAAAATGTAAACAAAATAAACACCAGAATTAGGTCACTTCCACTAAGAAGGTGCAGACAGTTCTTAGAATTTATTTTAAGTCAAAAAGCTAAATTAGTTTCAAATGGTACTCCAGCTGTAGATTACCGTTTTCTCAATTTTCTAATGAGCCAAAAAGAGTGGGTATGTTTTGCTAAGAAATTAGAGCAACCAACGTGAACAAGCAAACATTATGTAACCAAACAGAGCTAACCACCATGGATTTGAAACCGCCAACCGCTTATTTAATTTATAATTATGCAGTAGAAAAAATATTAAAAAACTGGCAAAATGATCACTCAAAATAAGAAGAAAAAAAATTTCCATATACAACCAGTTAAATAGTCTGAGATAACAAGAAAACGATAACGAACAGCGTTATCTAGATTATTTAAAAAAACTGCGATATCTGACATTGTCCGATCTCGTACTTAACAAAAACTTGGAAACCAGATCTGAGCATCTTAAATTTTTGCCTATTTCAGATCTTGTCCAGACATGGTGCATGTTTCTTTTGGACATGGACATATCTGAATCACGACTGAGGCTGATATGGATTTTGCCACAAATTCCTGCTCAAGGCCGGGTTCATACCTGGAATATGCATGGGTCAGATCTGCTCGGCCGGAAAAAAGCAATTAATTGGCTAAATATATTTTAAAACTGCTAAAAACGTTTTTTAATTTGCCTGCGGCGCAGAAATTTTTTGACGAAGAGCCCTAATAGTATTTTCGGAGAGTTGGGAAAATTATATTGCTCGAACTAAAAAAGGGTCGACAGAATTTTCATTTTTTTTTGAAAACTGTCACCGAAAAACTGTCACCGAAAAACTGTCACCCCTAGAACACGTATTTGAATTCGTCAAAATGTGAATCACCCACAAACAACAGACCAATCAAATAAATAACTGAGCACAGAGGAATGGATCAGCATGGAATCCAGTAGCGTGCCGAGGTGGGTAGAAGAGCATCAGTCATCCAAATTGCGGAAGTATTGTCGCATTCAATCTGAAAGAGAATAAAAAAATTAAAACGATGAAACACAAAGTCAGGTGGCACAAATCATACACCTGCCAAATACGAATACTTTCTGAAACCACTTTTCTCAAATTTTACAGGCCGCGGGGAATCTATTTTGCAAAATTATTTTTTGCTTCGCAGGTTTATATTTTCAGCCACTGAACTTTTTGTCCTAGAGATTTTACACTGACTTCAGTCGAAAACTCTACGTCTCTAGAGTTCAGTACTACACGTGATTTTCAAAAATGGAAAAAATTATGTGATTTTTAACGAGCTTAATGTTATTTGTTAAAATGGCTCTTTTTAACGAAAAAACAACAAGACACGTAACAGAACTTAAAACTCCATTCGAAAATTTCCAAAAAATTTCATCGAGATCTGAACATGTATGTTGCAGTTCAGGACAAATATGGAACCATCTCACAGCACATAGGTTAACCCTGAGCTTATCTGTTTTTATTTTATTTTGTTTTATTAACTTTTTGAATCTTTCAGGTCTGAACAGGTATGCTGTAGTTCAGGACAGATATGCAATCGCACAACGAAGGGATTAACCCTGGGCATATCTTTATTTTTTTAATTTATGCTCGTGATTGTTTTAAAAAATTGGTATGCGGACTAATTAAGGCATGACAAAAAATTTTAGCCTCATGCGTAACCTTGAAAAGTCCCTAGTTACCACCATAAAAACGATAGTTATGTGAGGAGGCTGGAAGAAAAAGATTCGACAAGATTTGCCACTATGCACGCTGCTATTCTCGAGTTGCTTCTCAGAAATCCTTAAGCCAGGCTACTACAGTACTACCGCCAAGTTGCTGCCCATTATAAACAACTGTTTTCGAAAACTGAGATTTACAATAATTTTACATTATAATTTAATCTTATCCATGAAACTCAGGTACAGGTAAGATCGTGAGATTTTTTAGATGAAAGGTCGATAAACCAAACAAAGATTGAAGTTAAAAATGCGTTTTTTTTCTTGTTGTTATAGAGAGGATTTTAACTTAATCATGGGTGTTTTCATTTAACTCTCAAAGATTAATAAGGTTTTGCAGTTTTTATTGAACTTCACAATTAGAAATAAAAAGCAACGAATCAAAATTTAAAATGGTGAACATATTAAATGTTTTTTTTTCCTTGAAAAAACACCCTTCCAAAAGGATCTTCATATCGTTAACTCACAAAAAAAACTAATTTTTGTTTTGCTTAGACCATCCACTTATGTGGATCATTCATCAACGGGTGCGAGTTTTACGAAGTAATCTTAGCTATTAATTTGTCAATTTCAATATAGCGACCACGCCGAAAACCAGGTGCACTACGCGATTACACTGAAAACTAATAGTTTGCATTTGGAACATGTATAATTGTTCCGACTTTCGATACGAAAGTAACGGAATATTTGTGCTCGAGTTGGGTTTTTTTCTTTAGACAAATTTCGATTTTTTAACAAAACATTTTTGACGAATTTTTTTATATCATTTAAAAGGTATTGATGTCTTGAGCTGGAATTTGAAAGGACGTTTCACCTGTGATTATTTTTCGTAAAGTTATGGGGTTTAAAGATTGCCATTTTGGCCAATTTGGGACAATTAACGGGCGATATGTTTCGCGCTATTAACGCGTCAGCGGGTATTTAATCCGTCTTAGAAATCGTTCCAAATTGGTTGAAAGAAGCTTATTTGCCAAAATTGATTTGTTACGATGAACGAAATTTATCTTTTTGTATTTCATATGGTGTGGGGGGATGGTTTTCATAAAATTTCAAATTTTAGAAAAAAAAATTCCATTTTATTTTTATTAAAATTATTTTTTTAATGTTTTTACTTTAAAAACCTTAAAAGGCAGTCGGAACATTCAGGGCTTGGCCCTGACACAAGCAGTTTTGTTACAATTTAGGATTAAATACTTTGCGTTAAAGACAGGGGGCGGATCTAGGATTTTCTCGAGGGGGGGCGGATTTTCAAAAAAAAATTTCGAAAATTTTGTCGACCTTTTTTTTAGGTTGACCAAATTGATTTTTGAGCTCTCCCTAAGCTTTGTTTGGTCCCTTTTTCGGCAAAATTTTCTGCACCGCAAGCAAAAATTTGAAAAAACAGTCCAAAAAAAATCGTTTTTAGGCACTTTTTGGAAATTTTTGACCAAAAAATTGCGTTTTTTCGGCGCGCTCCCCCCTCAAAATTCCCCCAAAGTCGCCTTTAGAAAAATTGTAGGTTCAATCGGCCAAAAATGGATTTCTTAAAAAGTACCAAAGGGGGGACACTTTGGGTCGGCAGGGGGTCGAATCCCTGAGGAATCCGCCCCTGGTTAAAGACAATATACAGGAAGATTTTGCCTATCTAGTAGTACACCATGCTGTTTCCCAGTAAATGAGGAAGGTTTTATTGGTTTGGTGGCGAGAGCCCATTGAAATAATTTAAAATTATGGTCCTAAATTCTGAAGTGACTAAAAACGTGTTTTTTGGTCTGTGTTCAAGATGTTTGCATGCTTAGAAAATTTGTTCAAAATAAGGTGTATATTTTGATTTAAAACAGTTCGTGAAAAAAATTATGGTATACCTCAAAAAATCATTGATGCGCACCTAATTAAAACAGCGCAAAAACTTTGGAAAAAGAATGTTATTTTTAAAAGGGAAACATGCTACTTTAGCATTCAAAACTGCTGTCTGGTATTATAGAATATTGGGCCATTTGTTTTTGTGGAGATTAGAAAAAAAGTAAAAAGGTTTATTTCTGCCAGTTTGGTTATTACTGCCAAATTAGCTTTCCGACATATCGATAGCTTTAAGTTCCACGCTTTATGTGAAAAATTGATAAATAACCAGAAGTTATTTCTATCAAATTAAAATAGTGATAAATTGTTGCATCTGAAAATTTATGTTACACAACTTAACTATGGATCAAATCTTTCTAGTATTTGAAATCTCACACAAATTAGTTTATAATCATCAAAATGCACTGGAAAAGAATATAATTGTAATCAGCTAAACAAAGGATAGCTTCGTCTCGAAGAAAAAAACATTCTGCGATTCGGCTAACTGAGACGTCTAATGAGTTCGGCTTACTGAGACGTCTGTCGTACTAGTTTGCAGAATAGATACATGAGAATGAGTGCAGGCAGTATAAGGACAAGTAGGACGAACCAGCACACCACTCGTGGCCATCCAAAGCTGAGAGCCTCGACAGCGTGGATGTGGGAATTGACTTTGATCTCGGAGACGTTTCGGAAGAACCACGTTGCAATACACGCCTGTCATAAAGTGGAAAACCATTTAGAGGTACCGCGTAACAATTTTCGGTCTCAAGAAACATGCGAAAATACTGAACCTTTTAGTGTTGCATTTAGGTGCAACCATGCAATTATTTGACTGCGGATTTCCTGGCAAACCCAAATAGGAAATCCGTTACACGGCAAAGAAACCCAAGTCAGATGTTCTTAGCCATATGAAACCAAAAGTTTGGCATCACAAGATTTGTCTCGGATTCGCTGTTGTGCTTTTCAGCGTTAATCTTCGCACTGTAAAGACCGACGTTACCAACTAGTTATTTTAGCGGTTCAGTTTGATCAAGGTTATGACATTTTAAACCAAATAAAGGACGAAAAGTCGTCTCTGAAAAGATAATCAGCCCTTAATGTACGATTTCATTTTTTAAAACATCAAATGAAATATGGACTTTAGCCAAAATTTTGAGCAATTTAAAATCATGCAAAACTTGGCTTTCCCCGGAGCAGAAGTAATTATAGGAAATTTTTTTAGTTTTTCAGACAACGCGATGCTACATCAATATAAATTAAGCCAAAACGAAGCAGAAAAAAACTTCAAAGCGAATATATTTATTCAGATTTGCTGAAAATCAGGTTGAAAACCAGCCTTGTTGCAAATGATTGAAATAATTCTAACCTGAATTGCATAAGTGAGCACTTGGCCGACTGATGCGAGAAGAGAAAGAACGTATGATAACTTCTGCACTCGTTTGTTCCAGTCCAGCCACGAAGCCAGAATGTAGACAGTTGAAGTGAGAAAAAGAACCAGGTTCAAGGTCAATGTCAAACCTGAATAAAAGTTCATTATTTTCGTGGGGTTGATCAAGGATTGGTTTGTGACAGAACGGTATACATTTTTTAAAGGAAAAAATAAAATTGACTTTTTGCTGGCGTTTTTTATCAACCAATTTGATTTATGTTGGTTACATGATTAACATGTAAAAGGCACGCAAAGTTTTGCGGTTTTTTTAGATCCACCTCCACCCCTTTCATGAAGGGGGGGGGGGGGGGGGGGGGAGATTGTTAAGTAGATCAAGATGGTCGATTTTTCGACCAATCAGAATGCAGCAAAATTAAAATTCTCAATAGAAAGTTCAGTGATAATTTCCTGTATGTATTTATAGGTAGAGATTCCTGAGTAGGTACCATAGGGGGGGGGGGTTGTCAAGTAGGTCCGATTTTTTTTCTGAAAAGCAGTAAACTGTTTTCAAATTGGCGAGGATTTCACTGAAAACAGCATTCAAGATCAAAGTCAATGCAAGATGATGCTGTAATCAGATGCGTCATCTCGAGCTCTGCAACGAAGTCAGAAAGCCGTTATTTAATTGATATTACCTTAATTGATAACAAACATGAAATCTGAAGTCTCATAGCTTTTTCCTTTTTCTATGCGGGAAAGATGATTGGGTTTATAGTTGGATTTTGAAGTTTGAAGAAGTGTTTTCAAATTTCGACAAGGATAGCCGGTTACTGTGCAAGTAGCACAGACTGTTCCGTCCATGGTCTTTAGAAATTTAGGTTTAGAAAGTTCTTTTTTTTTCCAAATTAGTGTAGTGTTTTTCTGCTTGGTGTGATAAAAGGATCTGACGTAAAAATATAAGTTGGAATTTTAGACAGTCATAGTAATATAGGCAAACTGGAAAATAAAATTTATAGAAAAACGACTCAAAAAATACAAAAAAAAACATGAAAAAAGTTTTTGCAGAAAAGTTTTGAATTTTTTGAAGTTATTGGCACCCAAAATGAAGCTAAAAAACTCCAAAAACTAGTTAACATGCTTTAGATCAAGTTTCAAGGTCTTAAAATAGTCATAATTCAGCTGTTGTAAGCCTGCTCGCTTGCTTTATTCGCTTGAATTAAGACGAATAATCAAAAATTTCAAACCGGTTTTTCTCGACACGGGGGAAAGTTTTAGAAATTTTTTAATGTGGTTCGAACCACGACCGAAAGGGCTCCAATATGATATATCACTCAACCTAGTCCGATGATTATTTGTGTTACTTGATGTTGGTATGAAAAATAAAAAGCAGAAAAAAAACTAAAAAACACCCGAATACAAAGCCTTTTCAAATAGTCGGAAAAAAATTGACTAAAATTGATACTTTTAAATAATTGACTTATTCCAGTTTGAAAAAATATGAGTTGGAAATTTCATGACTATCGATTGAAAATCAAAACTTGTTGAGCTCAGATTTTAAAAATTACAAATTGTGTTCAGGCAGCTTTATTAATTCCAAAGTTTAAAAAAGTTTCCGAACAACTAAAACTAAAAATCATCCTGGATGTGATTTAAGGGGAGTTGGACTGGTTTTTCAGTTTTTCGAGTTGCTCAAAGAATTTTGAGGTAACCCCTCTATAGTACTCGGGCTCGAAACTTTCTTGGATTAGTTACAAGTTTTTGACGTCTCACCAGTTGAGGAGCGTTCCTGAGAAAATGCCGAATTTGTGAGTTGCGATCTTTTCAGTGGCCAGATACTGCTTTTAGGGATTTCAGTTTCTTTTTATAAGTAAATTGCTCCAATTCATTACTTTTTAAAAGAAATTTCACCGGTAGTTCTGCAATTCAATAGTTGCAAAAATAACTTGGGATCATTTTGAGGGATAACGCTTGAAAAAAATCCTAGGCATCAAAAAATGCTCGCCATGATACGTCAATCATTTCTGTTAACACGGGCAATAGAGCTAAGTTCACATGAATAGTGTTTTTAAGGTCTGAGTCTGCCAATAAATCCAAAACTTGACAATCCAAGCCATATGCAACCAAAAGTAATCAGCAGAAAATGCGCCAGCAACTGAGTTAGATTGCTCAACTTGAATAGTTAATAATAAATTGTTGGCAATGAGGCAACCTTGAGTTTCTTGATTGGCCAAAAAATAATTTTTCTTTTATTAAGATTCGTTTTGCGTAAAGCTAAACGTTCTGAAGTGAATAAAAAATGATTTTCGACATCAGATGGAGCAGTTGTAGGTTTTAAACTTCAGGGCTAGGTTTTTTAGCAGACCGGTCTTTAAGCAGACTCAAAACAATTAGACAAATAGAACGCTAACTTCAAAAGCGGCATTGGCAAGGAGAAAACTCTTAATCCGCTTCGTTCCGCTGCGCTTACACCCGGCACGAGAGAAATACAGCGCGTGAATCAGTGGTTGCCGTTAAACTAGCTTGATTTGCTTAAAACTTTGTTAATTAAGACAACTATCTCACAGTCTGCCAACTAAGCTCAACTCCAGATTAGGCGTCATTCTACTGCATTCCATCAATTATGCGTCAACTTTTGCTGCCTCTACAAAGCTGTCACTCAAAGTCTGCTAAAAGACCTAAATTTCCTTTTTTATGCAAAAAACCGGTCTGCTGAAAAATCGGTCCCCATTACTTTGTTAAAAATTGTTGACCGGAAACAATTTTGTGAACCATTTAGTAATAAAAATATAAATAAAAGCAAAACACTTGGACGGACAGGAGGACAAGAACGATTGAAAACACGTAACCTTTTTGTACACTTTTTCATGTAAAAAAGAATTCGCAAACCAAAATTGTGTCTTAAACTTGTGTCAAAAATTAAAATTACTTGCAAAACTATCAAATTGCCTAATTTGCTCGTTCTAATTAATTTTTTTTCCGCAATTATCTATAGTAACAACTAACGTGTTGGCAATTAGCTCTACGAATCTAAGTGAAATTAGTTCTTCTAAAACTGCGGATTTTGACATCGAATTTCAATTTAACTTTGACTTCGACCTACAAAAACTAGTTAACCCAGAATGCTACAACTTTTGAGAACTTATATATTGCTCAAGTTCAACAACTTTGCTAATAAATTGTTACAAGCTATGCATTTGAGATTTTGAGTACGCGTTACTAGAATTTACTATTCCTTTTTTTCAAAGAAATCTGAAATATTTGAGCTGGGAGTGTTTTTTTCCGGTTTTTAAAAGAACTAAATTCACTTAGATTCTTAGAGATTCATTGGACTTCATAACTAGGCTTTTTCGACAGACATTGTTCAAATCATACTAAGCAAATGATGTCCTGATTTCTGTTTTGAAAAGATTATTCACTTATGACCCTTTTTCCCAAAGTTATGAAGGCTTATCGATTGTCATTTCAGACAATTTGGAATAATTTACGCGCGATGCATTTGTGCTATTAACGCGTAAGCGAGTGTTTAATAAGGCTCAGAAACTGTTTTAAATTAAATTGAGCCACGCTATTTAGTGATTTGTATATCACTGTCAACGTTACATAGCGTGTGGGTGGATGATTCTCTAAAAAAAAGAAGAAAATGAAACAAAAAGTCCGTTTTTTTTAGAAGTTGAACAGTTTTTGAAACTGAACACAATTGCAAAGACTTTAAAAGGCAGTCGGACTGTTCAAGGCGTCCTCCTGATACGAGTATTCTTTTTCTTTTTTACCAGCGAATGCCTTGCATGTCGTGAGAGAATCCACGTCTGTCTTGCCAGTGTAGAACTCCTTGTCTCCCGGATCCCTTTTACACATGCTGCACTCAAATTCATCGCCCCCATTAGGATCTAAAAACCACCATTTTAAGCCGCCTTTTTCCTCGCCCTTTTTTCCCACCACGGTGAGAAATGGGGACTTGGTCAACATTACGAGGCCAAATTGTGCATTTTGTGCATTGTAAGCGGATTCCGCAACAAGGACGCTCCCTTTGTTCTTCTTTTGTTCTTTACTTTCCTTTGATCGTTCCGACAAAATTTTAACATGTTTAAAGACTTGTCTCTGGAATCCAAGAACATATACAGACGCAAAATTGTGCGCTATCCAGTGCACAGTTTGGCCTCGTAATGAATTTTTGTGAAGATTTTTTTTTCAACCAATCAGACTGAAGTTCATTATTGTTCATGTTTCAATAAGCTGATAAAAGTAATATTTGGGCCATTTAATAGAAATGTTACATGTGTTAAATGTTATATGAATATTATAAATGTTATATGGTCTAGAAATTCGTTTCGGGGTCCTATCCATTTTGAAACCTCCTTAAGTCCGACTTTGACTCCAATGCGTTAAACAGAGAGAGAGAGAGTATTTTTGCCATGAAGACTTGCTCGTCCCAAAACGAAGTTTGAAATTCCCAAAACGACTGTTCAGGTGGAGAGAGGGGTACCATAAAAAGGGAAGAGGGGTGGGTTTGAGCGATATGACTTTTTTCTTGTAAATAAGAAGAAATTATTTTAAGAAAGGCTAAAAAGAGACCTAAATCATCAGTTTTTCGACAAAGGAAATGATATCTTTCTTGTTAGTAAATAAATTGAAATTATAAATTAATTAGGTAAACGCTAAAGACGATACCTAAATTAGTGTAGACGACACACGACTCAAATAGCCCAAGATGTGCTTCGCATTGGTGAAATCTGGACTCGTCACATCTAGTCACAACCCATCGAGACGAAAAAGAAGTTGTTGTCACGCCAATTAAAGAGCAGACCTGAAATAAACAATAAGATTATCAAACTATCTTTTTATTGCTGCGAACAAAATTGTTATTACGAGAATTAAAAGCCCGGGTTGACGTCCATAAAAGGAAAATGCTTATCATACAATTTCATATATGGCAACTATGGAAAAAATGCTTATCATACAATTTTCATACAAAATTTAAAAACTGTTTTTTAGAGAAATACTTCTGTTCTATTTCCATCTTTTGAATCTTTCTGCTCAATAAAAACATGATTTTAATTTTGGTCAATGAAAATTGTATGATAAGCATTTTGCTATAGAAAAAATAAAATCTTCAAAATTAATTGAATGATGTTTCTGGAGTTAAAAAAAATTTATTGAAAGAGTGCATTTTGACTCTCAAAAACATGATTTTATTTTGGTCAAAAAAAATGCTTATCATATAATTTTCATATATGAAAATTGTATATGCATTTTTTCATAATCAAAAACACAAATTTGAGGTAAGAAAATTTTTAATCCTTTTTTGGGTTGGAAACTTGCTTTTGTGCTCAAATATAAGTTTTTGCGAAAAAAAATTGCATGCAAAATTTGAATTTTTTTGTTTATAACGTACCCAATTCCAACTTAGAACCAAGTTAACATCCTGCCCCTCCCCCACCCCCCTCCCCCTCAGGATATATTCGAAAATAGCATGATAAGCATTTTGGATCAAGTTAACATCCTCCCCCCTGGCTTTGGGGGGAGGATGTTAACTTGGTCCAAAATGCTTATCATGCTATTTTCATGGTATTTTTTTGGTCTATGAAATAGTAAGAAATAGATATGACAAGTATTTTTTTCATAATATGAAATAGTATGATAAGCTTTTTTGTCAACCCGGGAGGTGCATATTGTGCAAAAAAAGTCATCAACAGACCAGGGTCCATTTGGATTCATGAATCTTACCTGAGAAATGATAAATACACCAGTTAGAACTTTTAAATCTGTGATTATTATCACAAAATAAGACAAATATCGCACAAACAACGATGCCATTGGATTTTTTCAGCAATGTTATAGAGAAGGATGGCACGATATTTTTCAAGCGAGTTGTTTGTGCCGACAAAAATAATTTACTGATTCGAAAACTCAATAATTAATCAGAATTGTATATATAATTGATGATTTTGCCAGATGTCCGCTCAAGTAAACATACTGGTATGATTTATGGTGGATCAAAACACGGCCGCATATCACACTAAACAAGGAATCGAGCTTTGATTTTTTCCAAGTTTTTGCAAGCAGGAGCGTTAATCAAGTGTAAAACGAAGACCAGTTTCCTCTTCTAAATGTACACGGATCATTTGTAACTGTGATTGTAAATCTATTGTTTCGAATTTCAATGAAAGTACGATTTAATAAATCACTAGCTAATTTTTTCCCCAAAAAATTTTTGTATATTGAACGAAGACTTTTGACGGAGATTTTTATACCCATCTACAAAATATTATTGTCAGGAGGCACAATAAAAAAAATCACGAGTCATCATTTTCGTAAAGTTAAGTGAAAATAATTAATGAGATATTTATTGCATACTTATAACGCGCAAAAACGGCGGAATAGATCGGTTCATCAAGGCAAGTCATTTTATCTTATAAATAAGTTTTGTAAGGATGAAATAAGGAAGAAAAATTTTTTTTTTGATTTTTGTGATCATTTTTCCAATCAATATCTATTATGCGAGTGATCAATAAAAACCGTCTTTTCATAATACACATGACTACGGCAATGTGCCCAAGATAATTAGCATTAAAATAAATCCAGTTCAACAAGCCAATTAAGTAATCCAGTTCAATTAGCCTAAATGTTGTGATAAAATTATTAACTCGTTTCAGAGATGGCTAATTGAACCAGCTTCAAACGGAAACAGATGAGCTAAAACAACAGATGTTTCTTGCGTTTGCTGCAGAAAATCTTAGCCAAAACCGATTGCTTCCACCTGAATAAATGACCCCGCTGCATCAACTTTCTGATCGAATTAAACGATGGTGAATCTGTACGAGCCCTTCTCGAAGTATTAATGAAACAAGTTGATTACCAACAGAATAAAATTTTTGAGTTGAGAGGAGAAAATGGCAGACTATTAAACGACAATCAGGAGCTAGAAAAAGGAGTAACAAAATTACAAGTGTGTTTGACGTTTCATGGAGTGTCTGATGAGGTCGAGTACCCAGTACATTCAATCCTGATGATTCTAAGTACATTTTTTAATTGATCCCCAGGATATCGTCGCGTGCAGTTATCTACCCTGAAAAGGTAAAAAGTGTCCAATTTTTCTATTTTAGAAAAAAATTTGTACAATTATTAACGAGACGCTGTTACGTTTGAGTTTTAGGTCGATCTGACGGCTGTCAAAATTCACGAAAGCGAAAAACGTCCGGAAAAAACAGGGATTTTATGAATCACTGTAGACGTGGAAAAAATCGCTCAAGTCAATTCATGAAATCAGGTTCAGATTGAACAAAAAATATTTCTGACAGCAAATGGCAACCAGTTGATAATCGAAAGGATGTCCATTTTTTTATGGCTAACAATTTTAATTTGCAAATTCTAAATCAATCTTCATCTGCAGGCAGAATAAGTAATTCTTATGCGATTGATAGTGCTGAAAACTGCAACAATAAATTTTTGTCTTCGGCAACACCTGGTAAAAGGAAAGGAAATGTGGCTTTCTCTTCTCCTGATATTTCACACTCTCAACCTGACTACTAGAGCAGAGACTGAATAAAATATGCTGTCTCGTGAAAAAATTTATTGCATGAGATTCTCCGCCTAAAAAGAAAACGACCTTTTATGGGGCTGATTTTTGCACAAACAATACGAGCGCCAACAAAAAAACGATTCATAGATAGAGATTTGGGTTTGAAGACAGAAAAATATACTTTTTTAAATTTGGTATGCTTTTTGGTTATTTCTAAGGGACAGCAACGGCGATATACTCTTTTTAATTGTTCAGTCTTTCCGTGGCCATCAAGATCAATCAAAAGTTCCTGTTACATCACGAGAACGGCAGCCACTAGTCCTTGCTATTTTTGAAGTTTGGTTGAGTGACAATGACCTGTTGGATTTGTACCCTCGAAACAACTATCAGTAAGTAATTTTTGTAAATAATGGGCAAAATATTTGGGGAGATGGCCTAGTTTTTTTCATAGAAAATAAAATTATTTTGTTCACAAAATTCTTTCAAAAAAAAGTTTAGAGACTTCTGTCAATTTGGAACTTTGAAACAAATAAAGTTAATAAAGTTTTTTCAATATATTGCATACCAACAAGGAAATACAAACACAATTAGAAAAAAAACCTCTGGATTTGACTTCAAAGTGATTGACAGTGGTGGGCAAAATGAACCTTGATATTTAGATACTGCCCGTAATAATCGTTGATCGCAAACTGGTAGTGAATTTTGTCGGCTTTTAAATATCAAATAGTCAAGCAACAAGATAACACCCTACACGTTCTACCTGTATTGGTCATTTTATAAATAATGACAAATTGACCAAGCGCTACATCTCAATGCAAACACCTAAATGATACCCTGCCAACATCTAAGTGAACATTGTGCTTCGCTTGCATCTATTGCAAGTCTTCCAGATAATACTATTTGCTTTCTTAAGGGCAAAATGAGAAGAACTTCCGCAAATAAAAAAATGCTCTGTAAAGTTTCAGTTGTTTATTATCGGCAACCTGGAGACATTCTCCCAAAATATTGATTATATAATGTTGAGTTTGACTAAAACATGTTTGGAAGTTTTTAACTGGTTTTTGTCTAATCCAAAATTTTTATACAAATGAATCATAAAGCCGGGATTAGCATGGTTAACATCAAATTGTGTGGTGGAAAAAAATTTTGTGCATGCCAAAATGATTATTAATTCTTCACATGAAAATATTGATTGCTCATGGAAAATCAGAAATACGGTTGAAACGAAAATCAGCACTGCTCAACGAAACTACCACGATAAAAAGATAGATAAAAACAACATCATCTAAGCCAATTTTTTAGAGTGTTTAATAATTTCGGCGGAAGTCAAAAGGCAGCTCAAAATAAGATTGAGCCAAAACTATTCTGTTGAGCCAACTATTGTGCCAAAACTTGTTTGTGAACATTAGAAAACATCTAAGCAAATCCATGCCCCCACTTCAATATGTCGTTTTTGAAACAAATATACAGGAAATCATCAAATTATTGCTGCGCTAAAGTCAAAAACTTATTCTGCTCATAATGGTCAACCAACAAAATGAACTAAATTTGTGCACCAGTCATTTCTGTTTACTTAACTGATGGATTCGGTGAACGAATTACTATATAAATTTTTTCACTCTCTATCAAAATTGCAAAAGTAATTGTTTATTTTAGAGACGGAAGCAGAAAAAAAAAACCTAATAATTATTGACCTATTAAACTGCATGCAGTTTTAAACAAAACACTCGAAAAGCTAACTTAAAGAAGAATGTTCTCCATCAAAAAAAAATAATTACACAATGATACCAGAACAAATTGGCTTTCGTGAAATGCATTCATGTATCGAAGCAATTTTACATGTTACCGAATGATTACAATGTTAATCATTCAATTCTTCCAGAGAAACTGCGCGCTTATAGTTTTTGTTGAAAGATCAATGAGCTAATTTCAAGTTATTTGTCAAATAGGCAAAATTTTGATGAAAACTCATCAAAAACTTCAAGTAAAAAAGAAATTGCAATTAGGGCACCTGTTTTCTTACTTTATGTCAAAGAGATTAATGAAATTGTTGCGAAATCTGAGTTGAGTTTTTTTGCGGACGATACTGCCTTTCTTGCTTCTTTTCACATAACGAAAGTAAACGGTTACTTTTAAAATGATCTTCTCTAGCAGGCAAAAAAAGTCAGATCTACTAATTGCTTAAAAGTTTTCAAGTGCTCAATTTGACCATATAATGTAGTGTATGGATCACATAGGTACCGTGTGCAAAACATTAGCCAGATTCACTGAATCAATGTATAAAAGCATGATAGTTTTTTCAAAAAAAAATGTTATTAAGGTTCTATTTGGCTTATTTAGCGAACCAAAACAACCAAAACAAATCTAGAAAAACGTTTCGTTTTTCAAAAAAGAAACCTAGAAACCAATTATTTAATCAAATGTAAGTTTGAAAAAGTAACTATGAAATTGAATAAGCTCGCATTCGAAACAGTTCGTGAAAACTATTTGTCCTAACTTTTCAAAGAAACAATTTTTTTTTCAATATTTGAAAGGTTGACCAATTGATTATTTTAACGTCAGTAGTATAAACAGTCGAGGAATTACGCGATTTTGCTCAAACGGTATCATTTTTTTTACCGCTGTAAGACAAAAGTTATGAAAAACTCTCTTTCATGCAAAACAAGGAATTGCTTCAATTTCTTGACGTCGAATAATTTTTTTAGCTGAAGAATTTGAGTTTTTTTTAGATGACCTGTTTTCAAGGTTTTTTCATCTACTCAAAAACAATAAAAAATTACAATATATTTTATGTTCTTGCTATTTTCTAATAGATCACCGTTTATTGTTGGTTAAATAAGATTGTAATCCCAGAGGGTAGCTAATTGTTAAGCCGAATAGCCTGTTCCAGCTATCCTGATGCAGGGACTGATTGTGTTGTAATAAATTTTTCTACACAGTATCGAATGAATTGAATTGAAGCCAAATCATTGTGCAAAAACCTATAAAGTTTATCTTTCTGATTACTACTAGTTTCTAAATCTAGTTTTTTTTCAGCTTTTTTGACGAAAACTGTTCATTCCCAGCTTAGATGAAACTTATTGAAAAGCCAGAAAGTTTCCTATTGCCAGAAAGTTATTCCGTGTCAGATTACAACAACCTGCAACAAAAGACAATTCGCAACAAAAAAAACTCGAATTTGAATACAATCCGTTATGTATCAAGAACAAAATTCAGATCAGGTTATCAATGCGTGAAGTGTAATCGAGCTCTCACTTGTGTTCTAGAATCAAATTTTGTAAGTTAGTAAAAAATATTCAAACTTTGCGAGTTGTCTTTTGTTTTATTGCGAGTTGTCGTGGTACCGTCAAACTTACTAGCCTAAATTTTTATAGCAATCTCAGTTGTAATCCTCTGTATGAGTTTCTTAGAATTTTCATGCTATTTTTACACAATTGAAATTTTCAGCAGTTAATACATAATTGTTTCTGCTAGTTCCCAAACATGTGAGTTTGTTGTAAATTATTTTTAACCTTGTTCGACTTCCGGCATTAATCGCTCTCGGATCACTGTGTTTATTGCAGGGCAAACGTTTATTTTAAGACTCAAAACACGAATTGAGGTCTGCGATTTATTTCCAGACTTCGGAACTAAATAACAACCAAACTGCGTAGGATTCGATGTCACAAGATTCGATGTCACAAAGCTCTAGATAAAAGTCTATAGAGTCACAAAACTCTTGTCAAGAAGTCGCGACGACTTGTCATGAAGCCGCGACTTGAATTTTTTTTTGAAAGTCTTGTCAGAAACCTACTCACTCCAATTAAAAATTGGAGGAGCAATAAATTGAAGTAAGAACTCATAATTTATCAGCAACCAATTCAAAAAAACGGACGCTTCGAAACAAGAAAAATCAACCATCTTAAAAAAAATTTAAGTTTTGATATCTGATATATGTTGAATGTATATGTCGTGTGCTATTGTAACCCATATTGTTTACCTGGTAAAGTTTTCAGCGGGCAAAACTTTCTGAAATAAATTGCACAAATTATACATACTCGTCGAAACTGTTAGTGCTCTCTAGGCCCTGTTTGCGATAGTCACGACGAATCTGATCGTTCTCAAAACAGGGAAAGCCAAATTTTAGTCATTCTAGTCATGCTAGATTCTAGACATGCTAAACTTGGTGCTGAATGTCTGGACATGCCAAAAAATGGTGGCCAAAGTCTGCATATAAAACATCGACCTGGTAAGCATTCATTTTCGTAATGACGAAATCAAGAGGAGCTAGAGAAACGCAAATAAGGAACAACCCGTTCGCCATGTACCTTTTCCCGACCACAGCCATTTGTTTAGCTTCTTTTTTTTTCATTTTTGATTTTTTTTTTCGTTAAGAGTGTGCGAGGACTGATGAGAGTAGCCACCATTTCAGCAACTGACTGTTGTTTTCAATTAAGTCGCAGTGATGATGCTCAAAAAATAAAGCAAACTTTTGCAACAGCTATTGCAATTGAGAAGACATAAATACACTCTGTAGCCATCAACTTCAATTGAAAAGGGTGTCTGGGTAAAGAGCATCAATTACCAAACAGGACATCGCTGACTTTTAAATGCTTAAGAAAGTGATCTCTTAGCTTGATTGGAAAACAGTATTTACAAAAGTTGAAGAAAAATCCTTTGGGTCGGCAGGGAATCGAATCCCTGAGGGGGAAAAGGCGTCCCCCAGCAACCCCTGGCCTGACATAAAGCACGCAAAGAGAATTAATTAGTCCGCTCTTTTAACATCTCAGCTTATAATTTTTTCTGAATTTTTTCTTTTATTATTATTAAGATAAGCTCAAATTTGGGCTTATTAGTCAGTCTATAATTTGCAATCGATTCTAAATCAAGTAAAGCAATCATCTGTTTTAGTCAGCAAAAGATGTCGATTATTTACAATTCCAATAAATAAACAATAAATTAGTAATACCAACATACCATAGGCAAATAATAGACATGCAAATTTACATTTTAATCTGAGAGAATCTGACTTGTTTCAGGTGATCTCGATTTTGTTTAATCGAAACCGAATTTCAAATACGGCCAAAAATTGATTAATACTTATTGATTATTATTTAGTAAATCTCATTTTCATTCTTCCAAAAAAGCTAGTTGACACGCAGGTTAAGCGTGATTAAAAGAATCTAACGTTTGCTTTTCAGTTATTTTAAAATTATGTTAGTTGGTAGACTATTATTTAAAAAACAAATTAGACAAACTCTGAAACCGTTCGGAATTTTTGAAGCAATTTTTTCTTAACCTTCATCATTTTCCTCGTGATTAAGCAGCTATGTGTTCAACTTCCATATGTGAGATTCCCTCAACAAGTTAGTCTCTTTCTCAATTTTTATCGTAATTATAGAGTTTTTTTAACTAGTTATAGTGTTTCTGGATGTTTTCAGATCTTTGGATTGTGCTTCTAGCAGTTTTCTCTGGGTTGCCACTATCACAAATTGTAATCGGTGAGTCAGTTAAAAGTTCTTGCTGAGCTGGCTTTATGCAGCATTTCTAAAGGATGCAAAAAAAACATAAATGAAAAATTTTGAAAAGCGGATACGATTTTTTCACTCGGCGGAGTTTTAGACAAAACAGTAATTTTAATGAACATTGAACACTTTTATTTTACATCAACAATTCATTGGTTTTTCAATTTTCCGCCAAATTGTGCCGCACTGCAGTTAAAATGCTCCACACGACCATTTTTCAGACAAATTTCGACAATTCCGTCCAAAATAAAAACATTTTACATTGACTAGCGCTCCCATCATAAGCTTTTTGTTTCAAAAAATACCCCTTTATGGGTGCGAACAAACTGCGGATTAGCTTGTATTTGTTCCGACTATTTTGAACTAACTCAAAGAAAATTTAAGAGGTCAAGTGTGGTGTCACATTAAAGCCGTAACAGCCGTGACAGTCAATTTATTTTTAATTAATTATTTGCTAGGGTGGCGTCCCTCATGCTTGAAGGACCGAATGCTTGTAATTTATTTTAGCTTACTTTCAGCCAATCAGAATTGAGTATTCAAAATCTCAAAGTAAATCGTGAAAATCTTGAAGTAAGAAAATAAATCCAGGCCAATAGTGTTAATACTGACCGATTAGATAATAAGCCGATGAGTTTTCAAGAATGAAAAATTCTTATGATTTTGAACTCATTAAACTTGATGTTTATCTGAATAGTTTTGCGGTTGTAACCCGCAATTTGTAATATATTTGATTATTTTCTACTGATTTAAAACATTTTCTGTTAATATTGACTTCGATTTTGTGAGAAAGGCATTTAGCCAATAGAAATGCTTAGCGATTTTGATTGGCTGAAATTTTTCAAGCATTCGGTCCTTCAAGCATGAGAACCCTCCCCATTTGCTAGTATTCCAGGAGACTGTTGAAGAGCATTGAGAGTGCGATAAAAGAGTGCTATACCTAGCAGAGATCAACGCTTTGAAGTGTTATAGAACAATGCGGTTTTTCAACAGGTTATGTCAGTTTTTTTGAGGTTAAGTCTTACAAAGCGTTTAGGTTCAAGTTTGTCTTGAGGTGGCTCAGTTCGGTTTTGGTTTCAAGTCCTAATTTCCTTGCTGAAAGGAAGGCAAAATACACTGTTAATAACAAATGATCATTTAATGTAAAATTATACAAAATTTTTTTTATAGTTTCAAAAATGGATTTGAAATTTTAGAAAACAAATCAAACAAACCAGCAAAATTCCTTCCAAAAAAATCAAACACCAACAGGGAAAACAGTAGAAAACACGAGAAAAACAAATCAAACACCAACAATTTCCTTTTTTGCAAACCTTGATTTTCTCCTACTGTCTGTTGACCATGCTCAATGGAATGAGATGAAGTTTTTGCTCCGACCCTTCTCAAGAAATGGAGGAAAATAGGGTTGGGTTTTTGAAAGGGTTGGGTTTTTGAAAGGGTTGGGTTTTTGATTAGTTTCCAGTCGATTTTAATTATCTCAAGGAAATTAACAAAAACAAAAAAAGTATCTGCAAGTGTCACTCACGTTTTTAACGTGTTGTAAAATATGGGTGATGTTAGTTCATTCTAACATTTTCTCGCCTAAATTAATTTTTTTTTTTCGTAAAATCAACTGAAAGTTTCAAAATTTTTTAATGCTTGGTGTAATCAAAACTTTTTAGATTCATGCTTCATTTTTGATATTGGTTCAGTAAATTAGCAGGGTCAGAACATTTTGTGCTGCTTACACAAGGGCGTTGGTTTGATCAAATTGCAGAACAAAATTGAACAAGACTGCTCGTATCAAGGCGAGGACCTGAATGTTCCGACTACCTCTTAAGGTCTAGGGAGCAGTAATAACATGAAAAATTAAATGTGAAATATATATATATATATATATATTTTAATTTAAGATTTTTGCAAAAATCATCCCCGCACAGGCTATTTAAAGTACAAAGTGATAATTTAAAGTACAGAGTGATAATTTGAAGTACAAAGTGCGAAGAAAAAAACCCGAACACAAATATTCCGTTATTTTTGTTACGAAAGTCGGAACAATAAACACTTTGCTACAGTACACAAATGTGTAAAAGTTAAGACTAGGAAACGCGCTCACACTGTATGACATGTTTTTCATTGAATACTTAATTGCTTCTTCAAGTTGTCTGCTTACTTTTCTCTGAAAGCTTGCAAACTCTTTTCTCTGTGCTTTTTGGTGGCGTCACTCATGCTTGAAGGACCGATTGCTTGAAATTAATTTTAGCTTACTTTCTGCCAATCAAAATTAAGTATTCAAAATCTCAAAGTAAATCGCAAAAAGCTCAAAGTAAGAAAATAAAGCCAGGCCATTAGTGTTAATATTGACCGATTAGATAATAAACAGATGAGTTTTCAAGACTGAAAAATTCTTATGATTTTGACCTCATTAATCTTGATGTTTATCTGAATAGTATTGCGGTTTTAACCCGCAATGTTTATTATTTTTTGATTCTTTTCCACTGATTTAAAACATTTTCTGTTAATATTGACTTTGACTTTGTGAGAAAGGCATTTAGCCAATAGAAACGCTTGTCGATTTTGATTGGTTGAAATTTTTCAAGCATTCGGTTCTTCAAGCATGAGCACCCTCCCATGCTTTTTTTGTTTGTTTTTTTTTCGTTCATAGTTTTCTGTAATTTATCTAAGAAATTTTATGGCTCAACACCGATTATATGACTTTCTTTCCGAGTCAAATTGTGCAGTTTTGATTTAATTAAGTTGACTAAGATTCGCGAGTTGTTTTTTGATTTGGCATCAAATATGAAGTTTTCAATAAATATATTGGACACAATCTTGAAATTTTGAAGAAAAAAAAACAAGATTTCAAGCTAAAACAAACTCCACATAATTCTTTTAAATTTAACGTTAGCCTTTTTGTTGTTGTTGTTATTGTGTTGTTTTTGCTCTGAAAAAAATCTATATCAGTTGTCGACTCTGAAAATTTTTTTTTCAATTGTGGGCTTGAGTTTATTCAAAAAGTTGAGGCATCTGAAAAAATCCATAACACTTGTGGGCTCTGAAAAATCTTTTCAAGTTGTGGGACTGATTTTATTCAAAAAGTGCAGGTCTCTGGAAAAGCGCAAACGCTTTGCATTGCTTTTGTGGGAGTTCACTTCCAATTTTAAAAATTTATTTGCAATTTCAACGCCACGTCAAAAGTCAAAATTTAAGACTGTCAAATGAATTGTGAAAAATTTTCTCTTTAATTATTAGCTCAAAGTTCGAACAGAAAAAACTAATTAAGAAAAGCAAATGACCTCTTTTGTAGAAACTTTTTGCTTGCGAAATTAAAATTTCCAGACAACAAGTATGTCACAAGGTCACCTAAAAAATAACGCTTGGTTACAAAAATTGTCACATTGGCAGATATAGAGAGTTGCAAAAAGTAGGAAACGACAGAAGTAGTTATAAGTAGTAGCAAAAAGTTCGGACAGACAGAATTAATTAAAATGAGCAATCAGTGCTTTTTGACGCTCTTTTCCATGCAAAATATGAAACGAACAACCTTGAGTTTTTCAAATTCAAAATGCGAGATCGTCGATTATCCGATGATTATGCTAGCCTAATATTTAAATGCTGCGATGAACATTGAAATTTTATTATAAAACATTTAGCAAATTTAGTTACAAAATTGAAATCTAGAATTATTTTCAACAAAATAAAACAGATTAGGACGCCCCAAAAAAGCGGAAGTGAAGCTGATCAAATCATTCAAAATTTGGTAACTAATCGCAAAAAAAACATAAGCTTTCCTGAGCAGTAATTTTCCTGTTTCAATGCTTACTATTCGACGCTTCGGATGCAATTGCCCACCGTAGTTATAGGATTTGAGCGAAGCTCTGCTTTATGAACTTTCGACGTTATGTTTATTTCAGTTTTTATTTTCGTTGATTTCCAGACAGCTGCTTTTTTAATTAACTCTGTCGGTCCTTCGCGTATGAGGAATTCTACCAGAGCAACTGTCTCGGCATAAGCAAAATCTTAAAATGAAACAAACATAAAATCGAAAGTTCGCGTAGCACGATTCTTAAATTTGCTTAAAGTCTTTCACCATGCCGTGCAGTCACATTTCGAAAGTCACAAATCCAACTGATTAAAACTTCAGGTATCCTCTATGAAAGACACTGCAATGGGGAGAGTGAGTCCTATCTGGTGGTTTGGAATCTGGTCAGTGGGGTCTTGCTTCTCCTCGCCCTCCTCATGGAACTGGTCTACTCTTGCACCATGCGAGTGGTGCTATACTACAAACAGGCGGGTAACATATCGGGGTGGGGGAAACTAGAGTAACTATACTTAGTAAGAAAAAGTTGGACTATACAGAACTTATGAAAAAGCAGTCTGCCAATTTTGAGCAGCGTTTTCAAGTAAATATAAATTTTTAGTTGACCTTGAGTCATACTTCGTCAGAAAAATAGTTATAGGAGATATCAGAGTAGAGAGGGCAAGCTAGCGAAATAGTGAACTAACAGAATGCTAGTTAGTCTTGAAAAAAGACAAGAATGCTGACAAATATCGCTAGAACAGACTGCTTAAACTCCTAAAGAGTCACTAAAACCTCGAATCTAAAATTCAAATAGTTTCTAAACTCGGTTAACAAAGTTTTAAAAACTTTTTTTAAATGAAATTTTATCACTGGATCAAATATATCAAAAAAAGCTTGTTGTAATTATTATCATTAAAACTGTTGCTCACTTTTACTCTCCTGGGCAAATTCTTTTCCTTACAGAACTTGCCAATTGGAGGAGGGGTTGAGGATGGTGGGGGCAAGAGGGCTGTTAGCAGACACCCTATAGTGCCCAGAAGAGTGGTGTACTATCCGGCTATGGTGGTGATATTCCAGATAGCACTCGGAGTCTCATCTGCACTGGGTAAGAAGTTTAAACCTATGATGGCATGACATACCTTTGCAAAACTCTGAAACAAAAATTTTCATCAAAGAGGGGTCACTTTGACTTTTTTAGTAATTCAAAAATCACGCTGAAAGTACGAAGTTTGTCCCGACGTTTTTAAAGAAATCAAACCTGCAGTCGTTATTTTAAATGGGTCCTAAAAACTAAGCTGAAATCCAAATTACATGTCATAGAGAAGTGCAAAAAGTTCGGACAGACAGAAATAACTAAACAGCAATCGTACCATTTAAACGGATTTTTGCATGCAATTTCTTTTTTCAGACAACCTTGAGACACAAAATCGGACCTAATTATTATATTTTGCATGCAAAGTTTTTCCAAAATAGGGCAATTAATCTTTTTAAATCAATTTTGTTTGTCAGAACTACTTTTTGCTACTAATTATAATTTGCTTGACATTTTCATGAAAATTCCTGGTGTCGTCTGCGGTAAACTTCAATATTTGTGCTGTTTGAAGTGCGTTGGGGAAATGGCTAAAATCGGTGAACCATCATTGGTATGTACAAAAATCAAAGTGCGAAGTAAAAATTTGCGGTATCCAAATTTCGAAGTGGCTAGCGTTCGGACATTGAAAAAGTCCACTATTTTTGTGTTAAAAAGTTAAAAAACGAAAACTAAAAAGGCAATGATATTCATTGTACTCAAATTACCAAATTAATTATTGCAAAATATCCGCCAAGACACCAAGAAGACAATTTGATTTTTTAGGTCTCTACTCTGTGTTCAAATACACTTGCACCCCCTTCCTCAACTCCTTCACCACAGCAGCTGTCTACTCCCACTTACTAGCAGTGCTCACTCTGCCCCCCTTCTGCTGTGTGAGCTACTCCTGGCACAGGGCGGAAGAAGAGGATGCAGTCGCTTTTCTACATGCAGGAGGGTCGGTAGATTTATGAAATTGGTCAATTTTAAGTGCAATTGGCCGAAAGGGTTTTTGTCGCTAGTATGAGACAATTCAGTTCAATTGGCCGAACTGGCATTTTCTCTCTTTTACGTGCAGCGTTCGTGGAATTATGAATTTGTCTTTCAAGGGTAGCTTTGGTGTGATGGTGTCTAGTTCTTTATTGGGGCGCAAGTTCTTCCAGTTGTTTAACTCAAATTCTTCAGTTAAAGTCAGCCATCAATTTTTTCATTTAGAAGAAATTTGATTAAATATGAACCAAATAAACTCGTTTAGAGACGTTCACATAACAAAAATCCGGCTTTTGATCAAAAAGTTCAAAAAAAACATAATGTGAGCTACAATTTGAAATATCACTTAAAAACATGATGTGAAATAACGAAAGACAATTTGAAATATCACTTATAAACAAGCTATGATATACAGTTTGATCTTTTTGTTTATCATTTTCAATGCGTAGGACTATCTTTTTTTTGTAAAGATACAATTGTAAATGTAAACGAATTTTAAAAAGTGCTTTTGTTTTCAGTTCTCAGAACTCGCTCAACTCTAACCAAGAAGGAAGAAGTTCCACCAGTCACTTCTACGAGAGAACCACTCTGAGCAGAAATGACAATGCCAGTCAAGATAACAAACACGACCACACCAAGGGGGCAAGAGTGTTCTTACGCGGGGTGAAAATGGAGAAAAATAAAGCGGTAAGAACCGAACATGTCTATAGTAGAGATGCTATAAAAACAAGTCGGCCATAATGGAGGTTTTGAAATTGTTCTAACGTATATTGTTTGGGTCGGCAGGGGGTCGAATCCTTAAGGGAAGGGTGTCCGCCCCAATCAGCCCCTGCTTGTACTGACACTAAGTTGAAAGAGAGTTCAAATGAAAAAAAAACTACACCTTTTTTGATAAGTTTTTTTTTATAATTCTAGTTCCGACACTCAGCGCACATCCGTCATTCCTCCAGCATCGACAACATGAAATACCAATCTGCCTCCAATGGCCCCTCAACCAACAACCCCCCAATCTCAGCCATGAACCCAAACTACACCCTGGATGCACACAATGTGACTTCCAGACATAGATTCAACACTATGGCAGTCACAAGCCCCCAATTTGGAAGGGGAGGCAACATACCGGGGGGAGGGTTCTACGCAGGGATCGTCAATAATCTATTTAAAAAATTTAATCAGTTTTGTCTAGATTTTGATGACTTTCGCTATATTGCGAAAATCCATTTAAATCCAATATTTTTATGCAATAAAATATTTTTTTGTCTACCGTAAAAACAAAACATTTAATCCATTCTAAATTGTATCCATTCACGTATCTAAATGGTCTAACATAAATCGATTTCTATACAGTATATTATCTGTATAAAAATCGATTTAAATTTATACAAGCTTTGCAGTCTTGTTCGTTTTAAAAGTAGTTAGCAGTAGTTTTTTTTCAATATAAGATGCAAAACACAAAGATCACCAGCATCCAAGTTTTATGTAATAAATTATAACGGATTTTAATGATGATTTTTGACAATTATAATGGATGGACCCAAGTTTTTGACGATCTTTCTCGTTCCTTTGTACCAGTGCTTTCAGCAACCCAGTGAACTCAGGCCATTATGAGAATATTGACGCCAGGTTAGTCCATACATTTTGGTTTGCATTATTTACTCCTGACTCGGGTCGATGTGCTCGATTTATATTTCGACTTTGAAAGTCGAGCAGGTGCAGTTTTGCGACTGAAATTCCGTGTTCGAGAAAAGCAACTTTAAGTCGAGCGCAGTTTTTTTCTTTAACCAGCCAGAGGCCTAGCCCGAATGTTAATTATTTAAGGTTAACTCAACAATGGCTATCTTACAAGAGCTCATCTTATAAACTACAGCGTACATGCGCTTTGAACCCGCCATCATATGATTGCTGATTGTTTTAAGTCGAGAAAGTCGAAACACACCATAAGTTGGCTGAGAAAGTCGAAACATACCAATTGTTGGGCGAGAAAGTCGAAACGTAAAGCGAGCACTTCGAGCTGGGTAGTTCATATTGCAGAAGTCTCCGTCCTTCAGCCGAAAAAGAGACAGTTAAAAAGGTTATTATTGTAATTAGATTAGCCTATCTGGCAGCTCAGAAAGATGTGGTGGGTGGAGTGAGTGTGACTCATCGCGGAGTGAACCAAAGGGGACTGAGGGGGCTGGGAGGAGGTATTTATGCAGAAGATCGGGCGTCACCCAATCACTACTTGACACCACAGCAGATTAGTTAGTTCATTCTGATTTTAAAGATAATTTTGCCTCAGAAATTAAATAAAAAATTGTATGAAGGAAAAAAAACGAACTAATTTCTGCAAAGCAACAAAGAACTAATTTCTGCATTAAAGTGTTCATCGAGGACACAACAGCTGTTATCCGTGTTTACGAAAACGGAAAATCAGAGTATTGAAAATTTCATCGATACTTCATTAATAAATTATCGCTAATTCATCACTAGTTCATCGATAATTCATTATCATTGCTTATTTTGAAATTTCCAGCGCTGAATCAGTGCTATTTCAGCACTACAATTTGCTAGTTAGGTAAACAATTAAAGCTAAATCGTTGATGGCTATCACTGTTTTTTCAGTTTTTCATCGCATTTTTCAGTGGGAAATCAAGCCGGGGCTTTCACCGATCCAATTTGGAACAAAATTGTTTGACTATTTTTTTATGTGGACCCGGGTTGAGTTCCCATCGCAAATTAAGAATAAGTTTGAAAAAAAAAACATTGATCCCCCCAATCAATGATCTAGCGCTAAACATTTGCCCGAATAGCAAATTTAGTGCTGAGTTTGCAGTAATTCAGAGCTGAAAACTCGAATATTTAAACGATGAGTTAGCGATGAATTAGCGGGTTATAATACTTGAATTCCCCTTCTTTTTACCCATTCGCCATTTGTACCCCCAGTAAATGTGGGGTGGGGATTGGGGATTGGGTAATAAACTTGAGGAGGTAAATGGAAAGCCACCTAGGGGTGTGAGGGTGTGGAATGTGTAGGGGAGAGGAGTCCCCCCCCCCTCCCCCACATGTACTTTTTTGCCCCAACTCCGAATTAAATACTTAAACCCAAATTAAATCCAAAAAATCGAAAATATAAAAAACTTATATTCTGATATGTAAACATTGGTGATTCTACTGTATTACACGATATAGTAACCTGAGCGTAAGATTGATAAGTCATTAGTTTAAGTGGTACAGCAAATAAATGGTCGAGTTCGAAATAGTTCATTCTTCGAATATATCGTGCCTCCTATGCCAGAAAATAAAATTTGACACAATCGGCAAGCCCCCCGCAAAATCGGAACAAAGTAAGCTAATGTTATGAAACATTAGCTTACTGCGTTGCTTGTTACGAATCGTCGCCTGTTTTCGAATTGTCGCCCTAGCCAATTTAAAATGTTTTGATAGTTTCTTGATAGTTTAAAGATTTAGTTGTCGTAAATAGATTACGCTTTACCTGAGCTTCAAAATTTTTAGTTTTCACAACTGGATCTACAGCAAAGTGGAAATTAGGATTCTAAGAAACTCAATCGTTCGACGAATGTTAAAAAAATTGCTGTTCAATTTGGTTTTAAATTTCAGATCGAAGTTCGACTCCTATCGACTTCCCCCCTCTGAGCTCCCTTCAAAATAACCCGGTGCAGAACATGATACGAACAGGAGGGGGCAGCCGATCTACCCTCCCCTTTCCCATTGACATTCCAAGACTTATTGAACAACAGGTGTTGCAGCAGCAGGAAGCGATGAGCGGTAATAAATTAAACAACAGGATATTTTTGAGATACTTTAGAGCAAAACATGCAAAGTAATATGATAAAACAATGCATGATAAAACTTTCGCCTGATCCTAATCAGTGCCTTATCTTGATTTTTATTAAAATTTGTCAAACAGATCTATAAATTTTAAAGTGAACAAAAATGACACTGCAAAGTTTTGAAAAAAGTAATCCAACAACTACAGCTAGACAGTTAAACTATTTCAAAATCCGATTAGGTATTATCTCACTCCAAAAGGGTTCTAAGGGAAGTTCAACCCCCCCCCCCCCCCCCTCCCCACTGTAAACACTAATGGGAAAAACTTAAATAATAAACACGGTACTCAACCTGCGTACTCAAAATGCTTTTTTCAGTAGCAAATAGTTACTTTTAGTATCAAAATGACGACGAAAAATTAAACACGCTATTAGTCAGTTGGTCATGAAAACCTTCGAGGCCAAAAAGTGCGCTGTAAGAAGCTCAAAAAAATTATCAATACAGAAAAAAACTGGAGGGATTTAAGATCAATTTTATCAATTTTTCAAAAAACTGATTAGTTCCCAAGCACCTCAGATTGATCTCTCAAATCAATTAAGTACCTACAAACTAATGTATTCGCGGGATCCAGAATTGCATCACAAACTTTCGTTTTTTTCGGAAGAATGCGGTTGTTCGAAACAAAAACTTGAAAAATTGTAAAACCGTTTTTTGAAGTTGATAAAATCGATTTTCTAAGCTCTCCAAAAACGTTTTAACAGCTATTTTACCAAAAAATGTTCTGAACTGCAGGCCCCGCACGCCGTTTGGGGATTTTTTAAAGGTTTTGACCAAAAACATTGCTTTTTTATTGCGTGCTCCCCCTTTTTTGTCCAAAAACTAATTTTATTGATGAATATCTATGATTTCGTTGATGCTTTAGAGCTCAAAATCTGATTTTTATAGACATTTTCTTGATTTGTTTCCTAGAGTTTCCCCACAATCTGGTGCAAATTGAAGAGTTTTGCTGGTTTTTTTATTTTTGTCATGATTTTCATTTGTCTGGCATGAGTTTTTATTTGAAATTTTTTTTCTTCTAGATAATATGTTTTCGCAAGAAACATGTTAACATGTTTTCGCAAGATTCAAATTTTAACAAGAATTGTTTTGAATTAACTTTGAATGGATTTTTAGACACTAAAATTAATCTGCTCATGTTTTTAAATAATTTTAAGTTTTTTTAGTAAGATTCGGATGGATATAGCTAAGATTGGGATAGATTTCAGTGAGTTGGGAAATCCATCCAAATCGATTTTTAATAGATTTTTAGACACAAAATCGGATTAAATAGATTTAAAATCCTTTTCAGTTCGTAAAATGTACATGGTTAATCGATTTGGATCGATTTCAAATCAATTTAAAATAAATATAAATCAATGCACAATCATTTTTGTCCTTGTGGGCTGTAAAAAAATGCTGGTCATGTAAATGTCAAACAATTTGCTAAAACTGTGTAATCGAGTTTCGAAAAGATTTTTCGTTGTTTTGACATAAAATTCGGTGTTTGATGTAAATTAGTAAAAGCAAACACCTTCCCTAACCTTGGCGAAACTATTAAATCAGAAGAATCAATATTAACATTCAGATGAAATGAAAATCAAAACAGTTGTATCAAATGAAAAAAAAACCAAAGCGCACTAACAAATTCAGACAAAAACTTTGATACCAAAAGCAGCCCAATACTGCTACAATTTAGAGTTTTACCTTACCTGCACCACAATTTGAAAATTGAAAAAAAACGAGTATATGCTTGAAGAAATTTGAATTTAATTGTAAGTGTTAAAATAAAGCAGACAGAATAATAGGTACCCTCACTCAGTAGAAAGAGAAAATAATCGATTATATTATGATTATAATCGTACTTTTAGCAAAATTATAATTAATTATAAGCGCCGATTTTAGATAATAAAACGATTTATAATCAATTATAATGATAACATTTTTGGTGACATTTTAATAAATTATAATCAATGATAATTGATTATAATTTTTTGAGAAATCTCTTATAACCTCTTATAATCTCTTATAAACTGTTATAATCTATTATACTACATTATAATCCCTTTTCTATCAAATTAATATTTCACAAGAAAAATCAATTATAATGGATTATAATTTAGCTATTCTGCATGAAAACACAGTAAAAATCAGTAAGAAGTGAGAATCAGTAAACCAGGGGAGGATTTAGGATTTTCGCGAGAGAGAGAGGAGGGTCTCCTAAACCCTGTAAAGGTTCCATTGATTTCAAGCTTTCCCAAAGCATTTTAAATACCCTTTTTTGATCAAATTTCACGCGCCGCAGGCAAAATTTAAAAAAAAACGGGCCAAAAAAGGCATTTTTAGGCCTTTTTTGGAAACATTTGACCAAAAAATCGCTTTTTTCCGGCGCGCACCCCCCTCAGGAATTCGACACCCTGCTAACAACCCAAAAGGTCTCCCCATCCCCCCCACTATTTTGAGATCCCCCACTATTTTGAGGTCCCCGTTCCTATACCCGCTGATGGGTATAAGTACAATATTAAGGTTTCTTTTATTTCAGTAACCAACTGAAGCGCACACAAAACAGAACAAAACTGAAACGAAGTGAAGCGATGACAAATTTGGCGAATAAAAATGGATTATAGTCCATTATAATGGATTATAATACAATAAAATTTGAGGAAAAAAAATCTTTCGTAAATTAATCGATTATAATCGATTATAACGTTTTTTTTGTTTCGAAAAACAGTAATATTATAATCCATTTTAATCGATTAAAATCTTTTTTTTTGAAATTTATTGAGACTGATTATAAAATCCATTATAATCTATTATTTTATCTTTTTACTGAGTGCGAGTATAAAAAATGCCAGCCAAAGTTATGGAACGCCAAATTAAATCATCCGCACAAAATATAAGAAATAGCCGAGAACTCACTTGGTTTGATTTTTAGTTTAAAATGCAGACATTTAGATACACTGGTTGAATATCTTTTGAAAGTTTCCTCTAATTCAGAAATTTTACACAATTTTTGACGGTTTTCATAATGTAAATAATTGTTTTGAGATCATTGAATTACAAAAAACTTCAAGTTGGTTTAGCGAGTTTCAAAATATTTTACTCAAGATGTTTATCCAAGTTTTCTAGGTTTGTTTGTACAACTTTTGTTCATACAAGTTTTACAACACTCTTTATGTAACTGATATAGTTTTTGAGAATAAGTAAATAGTTAGTCTGTTTGATCTGTTTTTAGCTCAAAAAGAGCTGGTAGGCGCTATAATGTCACCATCCGAAACACTGACCCCAAATTCAGATGTGGGACCTAAGCTAGTGCCCAACGGGTCGGCAGTATGGGTCAAAGAAACTGAAGAAACCAAGGCTGATGACGAAAGTGATGACGTCATCATGACTCATGGGGGTGTTGCTGACCAATCAGAGCGCGAGAACCCGACTGCGAGAGACGACAATGCTGGCCTAGTTGCGGCTGCGAGCAAACAAGCGACAAAAAAGATCGATCGACAATCTGATGTTTGAAAAGTGCTTCAAGCTTATTAAATAATACTTGAAAAAGTAACAGAAGTCATTGGTTCGTTTTTTACTTTGCCCAAAGTAACGTAAGAACGCATTGTTTTCTAATTGAAAAAATAACTTAAACTAAGCGATGCTGTCGTATTTAATTTCAACCTATCACATTTTAGCATTTGATTCATGTTTTCAAATTTTAAGAAATGAAATTTTGGGGCGAATCAAGTAAAAAGACAAGAACTGCTTATGGCGCTTTTTAAAACTCAAAGTATAACACCAAAACCATAAACTGATAATGATGAAGCTGCTTAAAACAATTTCGATTGAGTCTTTTCTGTTTTACAAAAACTAACAAATTGCTCAAGTTCTGCCTTTACTAATGATATTCACTGAGAATAAGTTCAGACTGATCAGATTTGAGCGTTATGATCCAATAGTCTAAAAATCAAAAAACCAGTTAATGAGCTTATAATATAAAAGACTATTTAAATGGTGCTATGAGATCCAGGTCATAACGCTTTACTCTTATATGTTAGTCATTCGAAAATACGAGTTATGGAGTTTATTAACTAGTAGACCAATCCGCAAAACAGTTTTTTTTGTTGAATTAAAGAGAATGAAGTGCACTTTTAACTTGAGCCGAGACAAGAAATTAAATCAAAAACGTTCAAAAACACGTGGCTTCAAACATGGAGAAACTTTCATACAAATATGGGAAAAAGAAATTATGGGAGGTAACATAGAAGTGAAGTATGGGAGGTGACGCATAGAACTGACATCTGAAAAATTAACGCATTTTTGATGTGTGTGTCGTCTTCTCTACAACTACTGAAAATATAGCTTTGAAACTTTGACAAATGCTAGATGAATTTTTTTCAAGTAGCTAGCCCGATGAATGATTAAATTTTTGTTTTAAAGGCGTGAAACATCCAGCAGATCATAACTAGTTTCAAAGAAATTTTTGCCAGTTCAAACTTTTGATAAACTTATACTGGAGTGTAGCTCGGTATCATCTCAAAACTTTTTCAACTTAACCGTGATTCAGATTGTTTTGGATGTTTAACTGCAAGAATGCCGAACTGTGTTGTTCAATTTTCCTTGAAACTCGTAGGATATTTTATACAGGCAATCGTAGCAAACATAAGTATCTTAACTGGAAAAAATTTATCGATGAACTCAACAATTACTTGAAATTTTTCGATCGTAGTTTAGTTTTAGTCGTACAAAAAAAATCAAAATAGACATTTTTTTGCCGGTAATTTTGAAACTTTTTTATTTGAAACTTCCAAAAATCTGAAAACTTGTGACGTGTCTCTGCATTTTGTGGAAAAAATGACTGAAAACAAATAAAACAAGACTGCTCGAATCAGATTTTATGTAAAAACTTCCCGAAATTTGAGATTTTATGTAAAAACATCCCCCACACGTCATATTAAGGTAAAGTGATAGATTTTGCGCCTATTAACAAATCAATTATGGCATATAAGCTTCCTTGAACCAATTTGGAACGATTTCTAAGACGGATTAATTCTCGCTTACGCGTTAATAGCGCGAAATTTATCGAGCGTTAAATGTCCCAAATTGGCCAAAATGGCAATCTTTAAACCCCCATAACTTAACAAAAAATGATCACAGGTGAAATATCTTTTCAAATTCAAGCTCAGGACAACAATACCTTTGTCCTGAGAAAAAAAAACCCGAGCACAAAAAACCCACCCGAGCACAAATATTCCGTTACTTTCGTATCGAAAGTCGGAACAAAAACCATGTTTGTAGTTATGTAAATCTTAATTTAAAATTGATAAAATTGGAACCTGATCTAAACTATAATTTATGATTGGATAAATTAAATGTTTTACCAATGTAAAGTATTTAATATTAACCAATCATGATCCATCTAACTAACAACCCACTTATTTGTAAGTGCTGAAGTTACTTGTAATTTCAGCACCAGAGAGATTTGAATTTAACTTAGAAATTAGTTGGACTCTCCCGAGCACTTCAGCAGCCGCAATAAACCAGTATACCCTAGATCTATTGAGCCTAGCAGAGACTAGTTAAACAACCTGAGACTAGATAGTATAAGAGTAAGATTAGGATCGGTATTAGACTAAGAAGTTGCACGAATCTATCCGGCCGAAAATAAGATAGCGTGACGAGCAGACGGTGTACCCTATCCGAAATTACTCTATGAGTTATACACCCCAGATATAACTCATCTGGTGCGACCATAAGTCTCGAACAAGACCTTACTAGATTAGAATTAACCAAAATAGATTAGAAATTAGACAAAAACATTTACAAAATGTTATACGACAATAATTTAATTGAAATGTCTCTCCGACTCAATAGATCAGAGCCAATATTCCGAACCATAATAGAACTACCCGGAATTGGAAGAAGACCTCGAACCAAAGACGACATAGGACAGAGTAGAAACTTGCCGTATAGTTATATGATAGTTCGGCAAAAGCCAGAACAAACTTTTATATTTCGAATATTACTTGCAATGAATTTAGATTTCCATTTGCAAACATAAAACCTTGAAGTTACTCTTCAAAATCATTTCAGGCGCTAAACAAAATTAATATTATACAATAACGATTGATAAAAAGATCTAAGATCGTTTTCCTAAAATTCTGCAGTAATATACAAAACATGTTTGAAAAATATTTATTGAAAAATCAAAATAAAAATTAGTAGCATGACAATAAATGGTTAGTAATCATAAATCATCTTGTTGTTCCAGCTTCATCACCTAAAACATAACAGCAATCATCAACTCACTAATATCATCAAAACACTAAATTTTTCCTTTACACAAATTTAAAACTTTATTAAAATTTAAAGTCACTTAATTTAAAAACCAGATCATCAAGGCTTATCCTTGGATCTTAAATCATTTTCTACTTAATTAAATTTTAAATTTGATCATCAAGGCTTATCCTTGGATCAAACAGAACAACTTTGTTCTCCCCCACCCACTTAATTAGTGTCTAACGACCTCAAACGTCGATTCACTATCCAACCCTCTCTAAAGACCCAAAACTAATAGAAATTTTTGAACAAAACTAATCATTCAAATTAGGATAAACAGTGAAGAACTTCGGTTATTCATCCTTCACTTGACCCCCCCTCTTACCAGACCCAGGATAAATCTTAGACTTAGTAAGTTTAAAATAGTATCTAACGAACTACTCGCGTTCTAATTATACCTGAACCTTGTGGATCGATTTACTATTCTCCAACCCTTGAACACAATCACTACCCCTAAGTAAGATTAAGTAAGTTAACACCTTAACTTATACTAGTCACGAGAAAGTAAAAATCATTCTTCGGAATCGATATACTTTTCTCTCCAACCCTGAACAAATAGACCCAGGTTAAGCTAACCAAAAAATCGTAAGAACTAACAGTTTAAGAAAATAGAAATCATTTAACAACTTTTTGCATCCGTCATTCTAAACCTTATGTCATTTAAAAATCTAGGAAATAAACAAACAATCATTTTACACAATTGTGAAATAGATAACAAAAAATACGACCTTGTAATCACACCTCATACACAAACAGTTGGATACATTCGAACAAAACGACAAACACTAAAGAGGAAAATAATAACTAAACAAAGACAAATAACACGAAAAAGATTTTCAAAAAATCGAAACGCATTTTCAGAATCAGAAACCAACAGTTTAGACGAACTTTACAAACTAAAAGAATCAATAGATAAAAATTGCCCACTTCACGATCAACTATATTTTTCTGACTCAGAAACAACTTCAAATTCATCACAAAGAGGAAAAAGAAGAATAAAAAAACAGTACAAACACAAACCAGTACATTTATACAATTGGAATCAACCAATTCGACACATTAATAATTACATATTAACAGTCATCGAACGAAAAAATGAGTTCAACACACACCCCAGGTGACGAAACTCCAGATGATGATGAAATCTTTCCCTTTATAGTAGACGCAGATACTGATAGAGGACAACACATATTTTGTCAAAATTTACTCGTAAATTTATTTGAACCCGGAATCAGTCCATGTAAAACAGAGTTCCCCGATGTAAAAATTAAAAGACAAATCATAGATCATTATTTAAAAGATATATGCAACATAACACAACAGTATGGAATCTACTCTATAGAATTCACTTCCCCAAACCATAATAATAGAACATATACTATTCAAACAGACGATCTTGATTTAGAATTTTCAAAAGTTTTTTCAGAATATATAAAAAGCATCCAATACCATAACTCACAAAGAGCAAACTCCATTTTCACCAATGAAGTTTTCGCAATAATATATAGTTATATTTCGATATTAGAAAATGAACTTCCATTAACAAATGTCTCACCGACAGAAACATCTAAACATTTAAGAGTACGACATGAAATCACACTACTCTCTAGTTATTTAAACATCATTAAAGAAAATTTCACGAAAGACGATGTTTCACAACATACCAAACACGATTTACAAAAAATTTTGGCATGGTTCATAATAGATTATTTCACACACAATATTGATTTAATTGCACAAGCAAGAAAAAATTTTAGACCCCAAAATTCGAACGATGATACCGCTATCACAGAACAATCAGATTATGTTTGGGACCCCGAATGGTCTCATCCCGCATTTATAAGCTTTCCACAATCAATCTCAAGTCAAGCAATAGGTACAATATCTTACATAAGAGATTATGTAAGAGTAATACCATTAACAATTGATGCAACTCCATTAAACTATAATACATTTTTACCCGATACACAAAATAATAGTTTAAACTCTACAGTCATACACAACGAAAACCTCAATGGAACTAGGAATCTTACTCAACAAGATATCCAGACACCATCACACTTCATAAATGAAGAAATTGTACACACAACAACTACACAACAAAGTATTTCACCAATACGCCCAAATATAACAACACCAAGAAATACAAATCCTTCACAAACACAGGTAACCTTACAATCAACCGTTAAACCTTCGGTTGCCCCTAAATATTCACATATGGATTACCAAACATACAGACCCATGACAATACCATCAAAAACACGCAAAACATTCACTAGAAACAACTTTGCAGACCATAATTATAATTATACACATCCATCAAAAACAAATTATCAACCACAAAGGAATTTTAATCAATATACAAAAACTCGAAACTGGGATAACCCAACGGCCCAATATAATTCCAAAAATTTTCAAACAAATCCTCCACAGGATCGCAGTGAAAATTACCCATTTTTTCAACAGAATAAAAATAAAAAACAGACATCTTATCAAATGGATTATTTATCCTCAGATGATGATTTCTTACAACCAGATATATTTGCACCAAATACTCAAGAATATCGTAGACAAGGAATACAGAGAACACATACAAATCATAGAAATTTTTCTCCACAACAAATAGATGCACATAATCAACAACCAATTCAACAACAAAATCTAATTAATACACAATCTTTTCAACCAATTCAACAACAAAATCCAATGACTGCACACTCGTATCAAGCATCACAAATGCAAAATGAAATACCACTCCCATATTATCTTCAACAACATGAAATAACAAGAAACCA